AATGGTCACACATGTAACTACTGCCAAAAATACTTGAAACTCAACAAAATCCCCGCTCGCGCCCAACCAATATGCTAACTTCTAAAAAAACTAAAACCCAATCGGTATCGGATGCGCTTTGGAAATCAACCCTAGACACCTGAAGAGTTAGATGTTTTTTTTTTTTGGTAGGTGAACTATGCACTATACACGTACAATGCAAAAACATCGCGGTCGTAACTGTCGAGTTATATGTTTAGGGTTGATTCATGTAACGTTTTACCAAAGATGTTCTCGCGTCCCATGATGGTTACGAATGGCATATTCTCCCCTGTATTTACCTGTCACTTTTGTCGTATCGACATTCAGTCTCTCGTTATTCGTATAATTGCGCACTCTGTAAGGCCATTCGTAACACAACCAAGGTTAAAAGCAGTAACAATATAATTGTTTAACATGGGCCAATGGAGGGGAGACATAGTTTCCATCCTGCACTGCAATACAATTGTCAAACGCGCAGAGACTGAGGTCCTTGCTAAGTGACGTAGCTAAGTAGTTGCTCGCCACCCACCCACGTCATCCTCTACTGTTACCCCAAATCCGACTGAACATCCACCTGTTTGACCCATCCTCCTATCACCGCGGGAACAATGCAGAACCCCACCCTCTCCTCTCTCCTTCCACAACCCGCCTCGCCACTCTAGGAGGTTGACACAGTGACGACCTTGACAGCGTTGGCAGACGGGTTGAACCAGCCGGGCGGCACCGAGTTGAACCCATTCGCTTTGGCTGTGCCCGCGAACTTGGCGAGCGAGCTCACGAGAAACTGCTTCGCGACGGCGCCTCCAGCCTTGGGCAGAACCTTCTTGACAAACACATACTGCATGGACACAGCGGCGGGTGCCTTGGCGTTCGACTTCCAGATCAGATCCACCTGATCCCACGAAGCGTCGGGCGCGGGGAGGGTAACGCCGTTGAGCGCGTTCGTCGCGATCCAGGTGGCGGACGTGAGCGCCTGCCCGAGCGCGTTCTTAAGCGCGACCTCGGAGATCTTGTTCTTGAATTTCTTCACCTGCGCCGCGCACGCGCTCACGTGCGCGTACCCGATCGCGCCCACCTTCGCCACCACCGCGTTGCACATCGCCGCGTTTGACGCCACCGTCAGGAGACCCGAGAAAGTCAGCGGCGAGCCGTCAGTCTTGCCGGTGTAGCCCGTGCCCGCCTTGAGCCACAGTTGCTGGATGATGGCCGTCGTGCCGACCTTGTCGGAGCGCGCATAGCGGCTAATGGCGCCGGTAATCTTGCCCTTCGCGGCGGGAATGCCGCTCCAAGTGGTTACGCTGCCGCTGTAAATGTTGTAACTCTCGGCCGCGCTGAGAACAATGGTGGGCCCATGGACGAAGAAGTTGTACGCGGCGACGGCAACGGGAAGAGTGATCTTCCCAACGCCTGAATTCTGGCTTTCCACGGCGGTGGTGATGGGCTCGGAGGCGGCGCCAATGAGGTAGGTACCGTTGTAGAAACCCTTGATGCCGTTGCTAGAGCCAGAGGGGTCGTAGGCACCCACCAGCAGCGCCGGCGTCTTCTTGGCCGCCGCGTTCCACTGGGCGATCAGCGCCTTCGCCACCTGCAGGATTTGCGGATCGAATTTGGGAAATAAGAAGGAATAATCTTGTGGTGAGTGCGGTAGATGCGAAAAGACTCAGCGCCTCGTTTCCACAAAAGGATCAGCGCCACCTGTTTGGGATTAAATATGCGGTTTATATACAAATGGGTGCGAGTGATTTTGATGAGAGATAAGTGGTAAAGAACTTCCGATGCGGCAAATTGCTTCTACTGCCAGAAGGGTTTGATTGTGAGAATGCTGCAAAAAGAATCAGTGAGACTGCCAGATTTCCCTGAGCTCTGGGTGTTGAAAAAGAGTAATAACACGTACTGGCTCAAGAGGCTGCGCTCCACCCCAGAAGGGACTGATGACGGCAGAGGTAGACGCGGCCAGAGACAGGGCCACGAGCAGAAGCACAGCGCCACGAGCGATCGGAGCCATTGGGATGCGAAGTCTCAGACTGCAGTAGCAGAAGGCAGAGAGTTTAGCAGTTGAACAGGGACTGATAAACAGAAGGGATGATTTCTCAATGTTAGTTTCGCGTTGGGTTTTATGTTGGTTCCTTCTGGTGGATGCTGCCGTGAACTGGGAAGGTTGAGTCGAGTGTCCTGACTCGAACCGAAAATTGCACATCAGAAATGCGGTTCGGACGCCGAGTCGCGCGGTTCTTCAGCAAGAGAAGGGAGTACTGTATGTGTTGTGTACACCACTCCGTGATAGACGAGGGGTGTAGTAGAAGAGTAGATTTTATCATGCGCTAAATACAATGTTCGTGATCAAGCTGCGAAACGTGGAGTCCATATGCAGATAACCACACTCGTGGGAATGGATCGAGCACTTATACCGAACCTCCAATGTCCAGATACGGGTGATCGGCGATCGGGTGTGTGGAGAAATGTGATGTGTTCAAGATAAATGCTGCCACGCGGGTCGAACGCACGCACGCAGTGCTGCTAGATCTGCTAGGGTAACTGGTGCAACGTGATGTAGGTTAAGATGCTGGCGAAATATCTGCGAAATGTTATGAAGTCGCGAACATACACCTCGTCGTTCAGTTGGCTACCACATCGCGAACATTGTGAAGCTGAAGCCGCGTCTCGGCTGGGCGCGAACATGCCAGCTGGATCTGGACAGGCTGGCACACTACTAGGAGCGACATGGCCCGTATTTGGACAACACGAATAGACACCACCACGCGATTCGGTGTCGAAATGCAGCTTGGCATTTTGCCGCATTATCGGGCCATCCAGATTGGCGGCGACTCGAGAATCCACCACTCTCAAACGCACCGTTCTCCAGACAAGTCCCCAAGTTCACTGGACTGTCGCTGTCTGCTGTTGCCTAGAGCTCCTTGATCGGCGGCGCAGCACTGTACTGCCGCGCTTCGCGCTTCAGGAGCTCCAGCGCGTGGCAATGACAAGCAAGCAGCAAAACCCCCGTTCCATTGGACCGACGGAAAACGGCGTTTAAACGGCCAGTATGAAATGTTGCCGCCGTTACCAAGCGAATCGTCAGGCGGTCCTCACCTCATCTCATTCTCTACCTATACTCTGAGCCCGCCAAAACCTAGAAGACACCATCACCGATTAAGTCCAGTCTACTCCGCCCACCGACAGAGGCTCTCCACTCCTCTCGCAGTGTCGGTGCTCGGCAGTGTGGTCCTCACTGACAGGACGTTACCTCTAGCCTACTACAGTGCGGGAATTCCATCCGTCCTCGTGCATTGTACCACGGAGATCATGTTCGCATGTCAGAATCACACGTTCATTCTTCTGGAAGCGCCGCCGCGTTTATCTAAGGGGCACGTAACCACTGTGCATATCACGTTTGGCTGAATAGAACTACGCAAATATCCTTCATCCAGTGTCCCCTTACTCCCTTCTCCTCGCGTCCCGTCTCAGGTCTCATAGTCCCCCACCCCTTCCATCTCCTCCCCCCCTTCCTTCCTTGTCCCACAACTAGTTCTTCCTCTCCCGGTAACTGACTTCCCACCCGTCCTGCCTCTCTCTCGCCATCATCCTGACCCCCACTTCAGGAAAAGAACACAACATTCTCTCTCCCTGCGTGGCGCCCTGAGTCATCTCTACTAAACATCTTCCAGGCTGTTACCTTCTTTTTAAGAATGCTCAGGAAAAAACGTGAGAGGCCACAGCTAAAATCAAGTCTTGAATATTTAAGAGTTTATCTCTAAGAGTTACAACTTACGAAGCAAGTAAAGAATCTGTGACTACTGCTAAAATCTAGGGTCTTGGACTACACCTCAATATTGACAACCGGGAAAGCATAACGGCTAAGAGCAGCGTAGGAGAAGAAACCAATTGCAATGGGGCATTACAGGTTTGCTAGAGAGAAGAGGAACAATTATAGATGCATTGACAGGAGTAGGTGGTTCAGCCATTGTCAAGGGCTAGAGGGAACGTATGAAGGTGGGTTAACAGGTCTTTCAAACCGTGCCACTGAATTGCACACGAGCATCACTGCATGGTTTGAGCCATGGTGGGTACCGTGTCAGGATGATGTGCTTGTGTCTCTGGAGCGTTTGGCGCCTCCGAAGCGGATCAGTCCATGTCAGCTCAAATATCAGATTTGAATAGCGTTGATGGGATGGGATGGGATGGGATGTGCTCTTGGGTGTGATCCGCTCTCAGGTGCAGGATGGGTGTCACGGCGTGAAGGAAACGGCACACTGCACACACACACACACACACACACACACACACACACACACACACACACACACACACACACACACACACACACACACACACACACACACACACACACATGCCGTCACATACAGGCAGCACAGGAAGGAAATCACAGTCAGGGAAGGAGGGAACCGGGGATTTGAGATAAGAAGGGTGCACGAGACAGTCCAGGGAAACAATAGAATCAAGCAGATATCAGTATGTAACAAAGAAACTTGCCTCCTTCTCATGCATACGTTCCCATCCCTGCTCATCTCTCCTACCATTTTCGCTGCACTCCATGCCAGACCAGCCACATGCGAGAACCTCGAAACAGGTTATCCCTGCCACTGAGGATCGATTTGCTTCGAGACGCCTCGAAACAGGTTCCCGCTTTCCATTTAATCAACATGATGTTGCTCAACTCACCTCTCTGTTGTTCCTTCCGCTCAATGAAACACCCTCTACCGAGCCTCGAAACAGGTCCCCCCTCCCCCCTTCTCCCCGTGTAACCAACGTGATGTTGCTCCACTCACCTCTCTGCTTCGTCCGCACAATGGAACACCCTCTACCGAGCCTGGCATTACCAGCCACCTGCCTGCCCAGCTGCACCATCAGCACTCCCTTCCGCCCACCCACGTCGCTCCACTCACCTCCCTGTTCCTTCCGCCCAATGGAACACCTAGCGAGCCTGGCATGAAACACCCTAAAACCTAAAATCTAAACTTCTAGAGTCTGTTCCTCTCAATGGGACACTCTCTGGCAAGCTTCGCCCCTTCAGCCACCTCTAGGCTCTCCACAGACCCCCTCGGGGCACCGGCAGCAGCAGCATCCACAGCAGTGTCGCCCGTCTGTGGCACCTCGCTGCTGCACACCCGCCCCCTCAACCCTTCCTTCCCCCCCCTCCTCCCCAAGCCTCACATGCCCCTTCCCCGCGCCCCTCCCCAGTTCACGCAACCACCCCTTGCTTTGCCAATCAAACTCACCTCTCTATTCTTCTCAATGGGGCACTCTCTGGCAAGCCTCGCCCCTTCAGCCACCTCTAGGCTCTCCACGGACCCCCTCGGGGCACCGGCAGCAGCAGCATCCACAGCAGCGGCAGCAGCATCACTCGATTGCGGCACCTCGCTGCTGCACACCCGCCCCGCCTGCTTGACACTGGAGAGACCAAGATACCGGTTCACCCGCGCCTGCGTGTGGGCGTCCAGAGTAGCACCGCCCTTGGGGGGTATGGGATGGTGGAGGGCGAGGAGATCCACCTGGGGAAGGGAGGAGATGGGGAGAGGAAAGAGGCAAGTTATGAGCCAACACAACATCAACATCAGCAGCAGCAGTGTCACCCAATTGCTGCACCTCGCTGCCGCACAGCCGCCCCGCCTGCTTTACGCTGGAAAGGCCCAAGAAGCGGTTCACCCGCGCCTGCGTGTTGGCGTTGAGAGGGGTGCCGCCCTTGGGGGTGTGCCGCGGTGGAGGGAGAGGAGGGACAGCTGGGGAAGGGTGAAAGAATGCGGTTGACTCGGTTGACTTGCGCCTGTGTGTTGGCTTGGCGTTGAGAGGGGTACCGCCCTTGGGGGTGTGCCGTGGTGGAGGGAGAGGAGGGATAGTTGGGGAAGGGAGGGGATAGGGCGAGGAGCGGGGAAGAGGATGCTTTGAGAAGCTTGGCTTGGTGGATTGCTCTTATGGATGTTGGCGTTGAGTCGGGTGCTGCGAATGTATGTAGCCTGGTGGAGCGAGAAAGGAGGGGCACCTGGGGAAGAGATGGGGAGAGGACGCACAGGGGGGGAGGAGGGTTTGGGGGAAGGCTGTTTTCTTAGAATTCTCAAAAAACATACTCGGTTGTTGAGGTTGTTGCGGGCGTTGCATGGTAGATACTGACTCACCGTGTTGCATGGTAGATACTGACTCACCGTGTTGCATGGTAGATACTGACTCACCGTGTTGCATGGTAGATACTGACTCACCGTGTTGCATGGTAGATACTGACTCACCGTGTTGCGGCATAACCCCCACACTTACACTCAAACTCACATGAAGGAGCGCATTGGTCCTCCCAATATTGCCCCTTCCTTAACCCCACAACCCACCCCCATCCTCACCTTGCGCGGGTTAACAATGACGCGCCGTGTGCCCGCATCGCCCTCACACAATGCCGCATCCGCCTCTCCTCCTCCTCCTGCCGCATCTGCACTGCACACAGGAGCCGCCTCTCTAAACACGGCCCTCTCTACAGCAAATACAATTCCACTGCTGCTGCTATTACCCCTGCCACCACCATCACCAGCAGCATCGGCTTCATCCTCCTCTCCTCCCTCCCCCCCAATCCCCTCCCTCTCCACCTTCACCACATCTGCCTCCCCCAGGCAAACCTCCGTGCTCCACCGCACTGCACCCAGGGAAAGGTAGGAGGAGGCGGCGAGGGAGGAGGGGGAGGAGGCGGAGAGGAGCGAGGGGAGGGTGGCGGGGGGCGAGGCGGAGAGATACTCGTCTAGGTCGAGAGGGAGAGTCCAGGCGGAGGAGAGGGCAGTGCGGTAGAGACAATCTTGCAGGGCGAGAATCTGGTGAGTGGGGAAGGGTAAGGGGGGAAGGGAAGGGGTGGGGGAGGAGGGGGGGGGAGGGGGGGGGAGGGGGGGGGGAAAGGGGAGGGGGAAGGGTTCGGCGGAGGGGGGTGAAAGGAGGGAAAGAAAATGGGGAAGAATGAACAAAGGGGAGGGTGGAAGAGGGGCGAGACGGAGAGGTACACGTGGAGGTCGAGAGGGAGAGTCCAGGCGGAGGAGAGGGAGGTGCGGTAGAGACAATCCTGTAGGGCGAGTATCTGGCGTTGGCAAGGGAAAACAGGGGCTAGAAACGGTAAGGAAGGGGGCTTGTGCAGATAGGAGTGAGGAAAGGTCGAGGGGGAGAGTCCAGGCAGAGGAGAGGGAGGTGCGATAGAGGCAGTCCTGTAGGGCGAGCATCTGCTGTTGGGGGAGGGATAAGGGAGGGGGGGGGGGGGGGGGGGGGGGGGGGGGGGGGGGGGGGGCGGAGGTGCGGGAGGAGGTGGTGAGTTTCGGGAGGAGAGAGGAGCAAGGGAAAGGAGGCTGGGGGGCAAGGCAGAGAGGTAATTGTCAAGGTCGAAGAGGGGGGAGGGAAGGGGCGGGGGGAGGGGAGGTAGGAAGAGGGACGTGCGGCAAAGGAGGGGAGGAAGGGTACAGGGAAAAAGATGGGTGGAGGGTGACGGGGGGGGCTGTTTTTAAGGTACCACCTCCGCACACACGCACGCACACCACCCCACTCCTTGCTACAAGCAACTTTTGAGACGTCTCAGAAGGAAGCACCCACACACACGCACGCACACAGCACCTCTCTCTCCTTGCTCCAAGCACCCTTGCAAGCAGGAGAATCCTCACACGTCCTCACCTTCTCCTGTTCCTTATCTGCCCCAACAATATCGGTCACCTCCACCATCCCCATCCTCTCGTATTCCCCCACCCCACTGCCACCTCGCTTCCCCTGTGCTCCTGCAGCAACAACAAAACATTCCCATCATCCCATCTCCCATTGCTACAAGCACGTACCTTCTCCTGTTCCTTATCTGCCCCAACAATATCGGTCACCTCCACCATCCCCATCCTCTCGTATTCCCCCACCCCACTGCCACCTCGCTTCCCCTGTGCTCCTGCAGCAACAACAAAACATTCCCATCATCCCATCTCCCATTGCTACAAGCACGTACCTTCTCCTGTTCCTTATCTGCCCCAACAATATCGGTCACCTCCACCATCCCCATCCTCTCGTATTCCCCCACCCCACTGCCACCTCGCTTCCCCTGTGCTCCTGCAGCAACAACAAAACATTCCCATCATCCCATCTCCCATTGCTACAAGCACGTACCTTCTCCTGTTCCTTATCTGCCCCAACAATATCTGTCACCTCCACCATCCCCATCCGCTCGTATTCCCCCACTGCCTGCCGCAGCTCTGTAGGCCAGTGGCTCTTGCTGTGCCGGTAAAGGACAAAGCTCGCCGCCCCTGCCACCGCCCGGTGGTAGTCCAGCCACTCGCGCAGGCGGGGCGGCGAAACGCCGTTTGTTATGAGGAGCGAGCAGATGGTGAGGGGCGTGGGGAGGGGCGAGGGGGGAGTGGAGAGCTGTCGGGAAGGGAAGGAACGTGGGGTGCAAAGAGTGCAGGGAACGAAAAAAAAAAAGAAAAGGAAATCCGTTTATTATAAGGAGCGAGCAGAGCAGATGGTGAGGGGCGTGGGGGGTCGTTGAGGGCGGGGTCGAGAGCTGATGCAGGGAGGGAAAGAGGGACGGAGGGAGACGTGGGATGCGAGGGGCAAAGGGAAGGAAAAGGAAACGCTGGTTTGAGGAGCGAGCGGATGGTGAGGGGCAAGGGGACGGGGTGAGGGGGATGTGGAGAGCTGTGGGGAAAGAGAAAAATCAAGGAAAAGAGGCAGGGAAGAAGAGGGGGGAGTGAGCAGATGGTGAGGGGCAAGGGGATGGGGTGAAGGCAGTGTGATGAGCTGTGGAAGGGAGGAAAGAGTGGGACGAAAGGGTTGCAGAGAAGGGAAAGGAGATTCTGCTTGTTATGAGGAGCGTGGTGAAGGGCGTGGGGATGATAAGGGAAAAAGAGATGTACATGACTCCATGGCCCAATGGATAAGGCGCTGGTCTACGGAACCAGAGATTCTGGGTTCGATCCCCAGTGGAGTCGTTTTCGGTACTGATCGTTTTGTCCTTGACCCATTTACGTTCTGTAAACCAATGACACTACCAGCTCTAAGGACCAAGGATGAGGGAAGGAACAAAAAACGCTGTTTGTTATGAGGAGTGATAGAAAGGTGAGGGCATGGTGAGGGGTGACGGGACGGGTCGGGAATTGTGGGGAAGAGCGGAAAGATGGAAAATCTTCTCTCTCCTCCCCTCGGCCTTTTGTGCACACAACAAAACCACTTCCCGTCCTCCACCTTCAAAGAACATTCCTTTCACCTCGCCTCCCCCTTCGCCTACCACCTCTCGTCATAAACAATCTCTCCAGGTAAACCAGGAATGAGCAACCCAGTTCCTCCCCTCCCTACTCTATCACTCACCTCCCCCCGGCCTTCAGCATACACAACCACTTTCGCCCCACCAGCAGCAGGAGCCGTGCATTCCAGATAGCCCCCACAGGGGGGAACAACAGTGTCGCCCTCAAATTTCAGCACCACTGCCGAGGTGTTCTGAGGGGGAATCGAGGGGGAGGGGAAAATGAAGGGGGGAGGGGGGGGGGAAGGGGAAGGAGGCAGGGGAGGAGGGAGGGTTGGGTTGGGTTGAGTAGAAGCGATGGCGGTTTCGCCTTGAAAGCGAGTACCCCTGCTCAGGACCTATGCACAGCCCCTATGCGCACCCACACACACTTACACATGCGCCCCCCTTGCACACCTCCACCAGCCCACCTAACCCAGTAGCCAACCAGTTTCATCTCACCTCCACCTGCAGACGCAGCAGCGAGCCTGCAATCATGCACAAACACGCCCCAACACCAAAGCAGCCCACCACCCAAGCAGCCCACCACCAAAGCAGCCCACCACCCAAGCAGCCCACCACCCGAGCAGCCCACCACCCAAGCAGCCCACCACCCGAGCAGCCCAGCAGCCAAGCAACCCAGCAGCCTCGTCTCACCTCCACCTGCAGGCGCAGCAGCGAGCCTGGGATCGGCTGGGAGCCGTCTGACTGGCGGAAGAGGCAGTTGTCGAGAGGTACGGTGGGCACGGCGGGAGATAGCAAGCCCACGAGTGCTATGGTGTGCGGGTTGTAGCGGTATGCACTGTGGGGGAGGAGGGAGAGGCGAAGCGAGGAGCGGGGAGGAGGGGGGAGGCCCAGGAGGGGAAACAGAGGAGGGGGGAGAGGATACGGGGGAGAGGGGAGGGAAGAGAGGGGAGGGGAGAGAGGGAGGGGTGAGAGGGGAGGAGAGGCACGTGAGCCATCAGTCTGGCAGAAGAGACAGGCGTCGAGAGGCACGATGGGCACGGCTGGAGGTAGCAACCCCACGAGTGCTTTGGTGTGCGGGTCGTAGCTGTATGCACTGAGAGGGAGCGTGGAGGAGAAGGGGTAGGGGGAGAGGGGAGAGGCACGATGGGCACGGCTGGAGGTAGCAACCCCACGAGTGCTTTGGTGTGCGGGTCGTAGCTGTATGCACTGAGAGGGAGCGTGGAGGAGAGGGGGTAGGGGGAGAGGGGAGAGGCACGATGAGCACGGCTGGAGGTAGCAACCCCACGAGTGCTTTGGTGTGCGGGTCGTAGCTGTATGCACTGAGAGGGAGCGTGGAGGAGAAGGGGTAGGGGGAGAGGGGAGAGGCACGATGGGCACGGCTGGAGGTAGCAACCCCACGAGTGCTATGGTGCGCGGGTTGTAGCGGCATGGACTGTAGTGGTGGCATTGTTCACACACACACATGCACACACCCAACCCCACACACACACACCCCCCACACACACACACCCAACCCCACACACACACACACCCCACACACACACACACCCACACATACACACACACACACACCCTCCCCCCCCACACACACACACCCCGCCGGCCCACACGCACACACACCCCCCCACACACACACACAACCCCCCACACACACACACACCCCGCCCCCCCCCCCACACACACACACAACCCGCCCCCCCCCCCCCACACATACACACACAACCCGCCCCCCCCCCACAAACATACCCACACACACACACACCTGAAGAGCTGCAGGTCTGGTGTGATCTGCACGAGGGAGCGCTGCTTCCATGCCTTGGCCTCTGGTGGAAGGGCGAGCACCTGGCAAGGCATGGATGAATGCGAGTGTGTGAGGGGGATGAGATGAGGAATGAGAGGGGTGAGACGGAGGGGAGGGAAGAGGCGGGAAGTTTGATTAATAACAAGCTGCTTCCATGCCTTGGCCTCCGGTGGCAGGTCGAGAGTCTGGCAAGGCATGGATGAATGCGAGGGTGTGAAGGGTGTGAACCTGGCGTGGCATGGATGAATGGGTGAGAGGAGTTGTGAGGGATGCTCAACACGAGTGGGATGTTGAACATGAGTGGGGGAGAAGGTAAGTGCGGGGGGCAGGGGGGACGGGACAAAGGAGAGACAAAGAGTAACGAAGGCAAAAACGGTCGGACAGTGGGAGGGAGGGAAGAAATGAAAATGCCAAAACACACACTCTAATCACCATCACCATCACCATCACCATCAACTCACCTCATCACCGCACTGCTGCACCTCCGCCACATCTATGCCTCCGGGTGTTGCTCGTAGCACTCCAATCACCATCACTATCACCATCACCACCACTCACCACCACTCACCACCACTCACCACCACTCACTACCACCGCGCTGCCATCCATCAACTCACCTCATCCCCGCATTGCTGCACCTCCGCCACATCTATGCCTCCCACTGCTGGTGACTCATCCTCCCCCACTTCCTCTCCCTCCTCCTCCCCTTCCTCCCCCACCTCCCCCTCCCCCTCCCCCGCCTCCTCTTCACCTCCCGCCTCTGTCTCCCCTGCAGTCCCAGCACTCTTCTTCCCAACCTGCTCAGCCGTCCCTGCTTCCCCCTCTCCTTCCTCCTCCTCTCCCTCCTCCTCTCCCCCCTCCTCTCCTTCCTCTCCCACATCCCCTTCCCCAGGGTAATCCTCTGGAGGGCCCAAGTCAGCATCATCCTCGCCCTCCTTTCCTCCACCCGTCCCTCCCATCGCACCAGCAACAGCAGGAGAATCAGGACCAGGAGCATCAGAGGGACCCGGGACAACAACCGCTGCAGGGTCCGCAGGTTCGGGAATGACAACCGCAGCAGGTTCGTTTGGAGAAGGCACCACAACCGCTGCAGGTTCGCCTGCTTCGGGAAGAGCAACCGCGCCGGCAAGGGGCTCCTTTGGTGCTGGAAAAACGACCGCTGCGGGTACGGTTGCTTCTGGAACGACAACTGCTGCGGGTTCCGTAGGCTCTGGGATTACAACCGCAGCGGGCTCGCTTGCGTCTGGGATAATAACCGCAGTAGGCTCATTTGATGCTGGTATTGCTGCGGGTTTCTTTGGTGGTGGTACGACCACTGCTGCAGGTTCGGTAGGCTCTGGGATTACAACTGCTGCAAGCTCGTCTGATGCAGGAATGACTGTTGCTGCAGGAACGTTGGGTGTTGCAAGCGCTGCTGTGGTGGCTGGGATATCTGTTGCTACAACGGATGCTGTCGCTGGGTCTGGTGTGACTGAATGTTTGAGGAGTTACAAGGGAGAATGAGGAGAGAGAATGGGGAACAAGAGGAGAGAGAATGGGGAACAAGAGGAGAGAGAATGGGGAACAAGAGGAGAGAGAATGGGGAACAAGAGGAGAGAGAATGGGGAACAAGAGGAGAGAGAATGGGGAACAAGAGGAGAGAGAATGGGGAACAAGAGGAGAGAGAATGGGGAACAAGAGGAGAGAGAATGGGGAACAAGAGGAGAGAGAATGGGGAACAAGAGGAGAGAGAATGGGGAATGTACATGCCGGCAAGGCAAGACCACCGATACGGGTCTCACCTTCCAACCCACCGATACGGGTCTCACCTTCCAACCCACCGATACGGGTCTCACCTTCCAACCCACCGATACGGGTCTCACCTTCCAACCCACCGATACGGGTCTCACCTTCCAACCCACCGATACGGGTCTCACCTTCCAACCCACCGATACGGGTCTCACCTTCCAACCCACCGATACGGGTCTCACCTTCCAACCCACCGATACGGGTCTCACCTTCCAACCCACCGATACGGGTCTCACCTTCCAACCCACCGATACGGGTCTCACCTTCCAACCCACCGATACGGGTCTCACCTTCCAACCCACCGATACGGGTCTCACCTTCCAACCCACCGATACGGGTCTCACCTTCCAACCCACCGATACGGGTCTCACCTTCCAACCCACCGATACGGGTCTCACCTTCCAACCCACCGATACGGGTCTCACCTTCCAACCCACCGATACGGGTCTCACCTTCCAACCCACCGATACGGGTCTCACCTTCCAACCCACCGATACGGGTCTCACCTTCCAACCCACCGATACGGGTCTCACCTTCCAACCCACCGATACGGGTCTCACCTTCCAACCCACCGATACGGGTCTCACCTTCCAACCCACCGATACGGGTCTCACCTTCCAACCCACCGATACGGGTCTCACCTTCCAACCCACCGATACGGGTCTCACCTTCCAACCCACCGATACGGGTCTCACCTTCCAACCCACCGATACGGGTCTCACCTTCCAACCCACCGATACGGGTCTCACCTTCCAACCCACCGATACGGGTCTCACCTTCCAACCCACCGATACGGGTCTCACCTTCCAACCCACCGATACGGGTCTCACCTTCCAACCCACCGATACGGGTCTCACCTTCCAACCCACCGATACGGGTCTCACCTTCCAACCCACCGATACGGGTCTCACCTTCCAACCCACCGATACGGGTCTCACCTTCCAACCCACCGATACGGGTCTCACCTTCCAACCCACCGATACGGGTCTCACCTTCCAACCCACCGATACGGGTCTCACCTTCCAACCCACCGATACGGGTCTCACCTTCCAACCCACCGATACGGGTCTCACCTTCCAACCCACCGATACGGGTCTCACCTTCCAACCCACCGATACGGGTCTCACCTTCCAACCCACCGATACGGGTCTCACCTTCCAACCCACCGATACGGGTCTCACCTTCCAACCCACCGATACGGGTCTCACCTTCCAACCCACCGATACGGGTCTCACCTTCCAACCCACCGATACGGGTCTCACCTTCCAACCCACCGATACGGGTCTCACCTTCCAACCCACCGATACGGGTCTCACCTTCCAACCCACCGATACGGGTCTCACCTTCCAACCCACCGATACGGGTCTCACCTTCCAACCCACCGATACGGGTCTCACCTTCCAACCCACCGATACGGGTCTCACCTTCCAACCCACCGATACGGGTCTCACCTTCCAACCCACCGATACGGGTCTCACCTTCCAACCCACCGATACGGGTCTCACCTTCCAACCCACCGATACGGGTCTCACCTTCCAACCCACCGATACGGGTCTCACCTTCCAACCCACCGATACGGGTCTCACCTTCCAACCCACCGATACGGGTCTCACCTTCCAACCCACCGATACGGGTCTCACCTTCCAACCCACCGATACGGGTCTCACCTTCCAACCCACCGATACGGGTCTCACCTTCCAACCCACCGATACGGGTCTCACCTTCCAACCCACCGATACGGGTCTCACCTTCCAACCCACCGATACGGGTCTCACCTTCCAACCCACCGATACGGGTCTCACCTTCCAACCCACCGATACGGGTCTCACCTTCCAACCCACCGATACGGGTCTCACCTTCCAACCCACCGATACGGGTCTCACCTTCCAACCCACCGATACGGGTCTCACCTTCCAACCCACCGATACGGGTCTCACCTTCCAACCCACCGATACGGGTCTCACCTTCCAACCCACCGATACGGGTCTCACCTTCCAACCCACCGATACGGGTCTCACCTTCCAACCCACCGATACGGGTCTCACCTTCCAACCCACCGATACGGGTCTCACCTTCCAACCCACCGATACGGGTCTCACCTTCCAACCCACCGATACGGGTCTCACCTTCCAACCCACCGATACGGGTCTCACCTTCCAACCCACCGATACGGGTCTCACCTTCCAACCCACCGATACGGGTCTCACCTTCCAACCCACCGATACGGGTCTCACCTTCCAACCCACCGATACGGGTCTCACCTTCCAACCCACCGATACGGGTCTCACCTTCCAACCCACCGATACGGGTCTCACCTTCCAACCCACCGATACGGGTCTCACCTTCCAACCCACCGATACGGGTCTCACCTTCCAACCCACCGATACGGGTCTCACCTTCCAACCCACCGATACGGGTCTCACCTTCCAACCCACCGATACGGGTCTCACCTTCCAACCCACCGATACGGGTCTCACCTTCCAACCCACCGATACGGGTCTCACCTTCCAACCCACCGATACGGGTCTCACCTTCCAACCCACCGATACGGGTCTCACCTTCCAACCCACCGATACGGGTCTCACCTTCCAACCCACCGATACGGGTCTCACCTTCCAACCCACCGATACGGGTCTCACCTTCCAACCCACCGATACGGGTCTCACCTTCCAACCCACCGATACGGGTCTCACCTTCCAACCCACCGATACGGGTCTCACCTTCCAACCCACCGATACGGGTCTCACCTTCCAACCCACCGATACGGGTCTCACCTTCCAACCCACCGATACGGGTCTCACCTTCCAACCCACCGATACGGGTCTCACCTTCCAACCCACCGATACGGGTCTCACCTTCCAACCCACCGATACGGGTCTCACCTTCCAACCCACCGATACGGGTCTCACCTTCCAACCCACCGATACGGGTCTCACCTTCCAACCCACCGATACGGGTCTCACCTTCCAACCCACCGATACGGGTCTCACCTTCCAACCCACCGATACGGGTCTCACCTTCCAACCCACCGATACGGGTCTCACCTTCCAACCCACCGATACGGGTCTCACCTTCCAACCCACCGATACGGGTCTCACCTTCCAACCCACCGATACGGGTCTCACCTTCCAACCCACCGATACGGGTCTCACCTTCCAACCCACCGATACGGGTCTCACCTTCCAACCCACCGATACGGGTCTCACCTTCCAACCCACCGATACGGGTCTCACCTTCCAACCCACCGATACGGGTCTCACCTTCCAACCCACCGATACGGGTCTCACCTTCCAACCCACCGATACGGGTCTCACCTTCCAACCCACCGATACGGGTCTCACCTTCCAACCCACCGATACGGGTCTCACCTTCCAACCCACCGATACGGGTCTCACCTTCCAACCCACCGATACGGGTCTCACCTTCCAACCCACCGATACGGGTCTCACCTTCCAACCCACCGATACGGGTCTCACCTTCCAACCCACCGATACGGGTCTCACCTTCCAACCCACCGATACGGGTCTCACCTTCCCCCCCACCGATAGGGTCTCACCTCCAACCCACCGATACGGGTCTCACCTTCCAACCCACCGATACGGGTCTCACCTTCCAACCCACCGATACGGGTCTCACCTTCCAACCCACCGATACGGGTCTCACCTTCCAACCCACCGATACGGGTCTCACCTTCCCCCTGGCCCCCAGTGACCACCTCCACTCCACCTGCAGTGCAGCTGCTACATTGCTGCAGCACCTCTGAGCTATCCGAGGTGACTTTTGAGTCGACTCAACGGTCACCCCGTGCAGCTGCTGCAGCACCTCTGAGATATCCGCCAGCTAATCAGGTGAGAGCTGACGGGGAGAGAGTTAGCACGAAAGACAAAAGAGGGGGAGGGGTCTCTCACCTTTCCCCCCACCAGTGACCACCTCCACTTGCAGCTGCTGCAGCACCTCCGTGCTATCCGCCAGTTCCTTCTCAACCACGTCCACCCTCTCCTGCACCCTCTTCAACCGCTCTTCACCGCGCTGCACCCGCGCTTTCAGCGGCTCCAGCAGCTTCCCCACCGCCTGCCCAACAACAACCCCACTCATGCCGCTACTACCATTCCCAGCAACACCGCCAGCACCAGCAGCAACACCACCAGCAGCAGCGGCAAAAGCAGCAGCAGCAGCGGCGTCACCAGCAGCACTTTCCCCAGGAGCTCTCCCAGCAGCGGCAACAAGGGAGTCCAGCTTCCCACGCAGCAGCGTGTGTTGCGACGACAGCTCCTCCACCTGCAATCTCAGCTTCGCTAGCTGCACCACTGGGGGGACTGGCGCTGCTGGTTTGGCTCCCGTCTTCTGGTGGTGAGGGTAGTAGAAGGGGGAGTGGGGGGTTGGGACGGGAGGGAGGGGAGTGGGGGAATGGGATAGGAGGCAGCAGCGCGTGTTGCGACGACAGCTCCTCCACCTGCACTCTCAGCTTCGCTAGCTGCACCATTGGAGGCACGGGCGCTGCTGGCTTGGCTCCCGTCTTCTGGTGGTGATGGGGGGAATGGGAGGGGAGACAGGGAGGGGGGGCGACAGCAGCAGCGTGTGTTGCGACGACAGCTCCTCCACCTACACCCTCAGCTTCGCCAGCTGCACCACGGGGGGAACTGGGGCCGCTGGTTTGGCTCCCGTCTTCTGGTGGTGAGGGGGGGAGAGAGGAGGCAAGGGACGGGGGCAGGGGGAGAGGGGAAAAGGAAGGGGGAATGGGACAGGAGAAGGGCAGCAGCGTGTGTTGCGACGACAGCTCCTCCACCTGCACCCTCAGCTTCGCTAGCTGCACCACGGGGGGAACTGGCGCTGCTGGCTTGGCTCCCGTCTTCTGGTGGTGAAGGGGGGAGAGGGGGGAGGAGCGGGGAAAGTGGGGGGGAGAGGGGGTATGTGACAGGAGATGGGAGAGGAAACGTGGGATAGGATGGGGGAGGGGAAGGGGGGGAACAGGACAGCAGTAGGGCAGCAGCGCGTGTTGCGACGACAGCTCTGCCACCTGCACCCTGAGCCTTGCTAGCTGCACCACTGGAGGGACGGGGGCTGCTGGGTTGGCTCCCGTCTCCTGGTGGCGAGGGGGAAAGTGAGACATGGGACGGGAGAGAGAGGGGGGGCGGGGAAGGGGATGGGATGGGACGGGAGAGGGGGAGAGGAGAAGGGGGATGGGACGGGGTTGTGCTAGTGGGGGAATAAGATGTGAGGCGGACAGCAGGCCACGTTGGGAAGAGGGAAGGGGGGGATATGATGGGAGATGGGGAGAGGGACAGTGGTGAGCTGGCGACAGGGGAGGGGAGGGGAGTGGGGAGATAGGATAGGACGGGAGAGGGGACCCGGGGAAGGGGCGAATGGGAGACGGGGAGAGCGGGGGTGATGAACCTGGAGGGAGAGGGGATGAGGGAAAGGGGCGAATGGGGCCAAGCCAAGCCGCGAGATGGAGCAGAGGGGCGGGGGGTGGAGGAAGAGGGGTTGGGAGAAGGGAAAGAACAGGAGCACAGAGTGTTGGATGGACTCACATGGTGTGCTGCTGCACCATCATTGACTTGCAGCAGCATTGACTTGCAGCAGCACCCACCTGGTTGCCGTTGAGCTGGTCCCTGATCTCGCGAATCTCCTCCTCCAGCGTGTCAAACGTCACCTGGAACACGCCTGCGGGCGAGGAGGGGGGGGGATGCAGCAAAGGGAAAAGAGGGGGCACATGGGGAGAAACGGTTAGAGTTGCAGACGAGGAGCGGCTGGGAGGGAGCTCCGGCATCTCCTCCCCTCCCCTGGCGTGGAGGGAGAGTGACACACTCCGGCGTGTCAAAGGCTGGGCTGCTGCGACGCAGTTCCTTGTGCCATTTTTTGCTCACCTTTCAAAACGGACGCACATCACCTCACCATACGCACCTGACACGTCACCATGCGCACCTGACACGTCACCATGCGCACCTGACATGTCACCATGCGCATCTGACACGTCACCATCCGCACCTGACAGACACGTCATCACTCGCCATCACCACCCGCACCTGACTCATCACCACCCGCACCTGACTCATCACTATCCGCACCTGACTCGTCATACACGCTGTGCTCCAAACTCGCCACCGACTCTGTCGTCTGCGCCCGCGTGCTGGGCTGTGTTGGGGAGATGGAGTTGGGGGGAACAAGGAGCAGGGAAAAGGGAGAAGGGGGGGGACGGGAGGGGAAGGGAGGGGAAGGGAGGGGAAGGAAGGGGAAGGGAGGGGAAGGGAGGGGAGGGGATGTAGGGGAAGAGAGGATGGGTGACAGACAGTGATCCTAGTGTGCTCTAGACCATGAGGTGAGCCACGAAGTCCCATGAGAGCAGCGGGATTTGAACCATCCCATAGCAGGAGCAGCGTGGGAGGGTAGATGACGGAGGTTTTGAACCATCTCAAACGCATAGAGTGATCAACGCGCACTTGAGGCGACTTTTGAGGCGCCTCAAAAGCAGGCAAGAGAGACCCGTGCGTGCGCTTCAAATGATTCCCAAAAGCCACTCACATCGTACACGAGAGTAACCAACGCGGCCTTGAAGCGACTACTGAGGCGCCTAAAAAGCACGCAAGAGTGACCCATGTGCTTCAAATGATTCCCAAAAGCCACTCACATCATACACGAGAGTGACCCACGCGCCCTTGAAGCGGAGGTTGTAGCCGCACATGCCCATGAGGAGCTGTGGGTGGGGCAAAGAGAGAGGGGGGAGGGTGAGGGGGGCAGGGGGAGGAGAGGGGAGGAAAAGCGGGTGGGGAAGAGAGGAGATGGGTTTGAGTAAGCAGAGAAGAGTCATGCAGCCTTGAAGCGACATTTGTCACCGCACATGCCCATGAGGCGCTGTGGGTGGCGAGAAACGGGGTAGGGGGAGGGCATAGGCTCGACTCAGAAAAGGCAAAGAGAGGAGGGAGAAAACATGGAGGCTGGTGCAAAGACAGAGAGGGTTTATAAGATTGGGTCAGGTCAGGGGTCAGGCCTGAGTGGCATCGGCATCTAGTCAACGTCAAACAAACGTACATGGTTAACGTCAAACAAACGTACATGGTTAACGTCAAACGAACGTACATGGTTAACGTCAAACGAACGTACATGGTTAACGTCAAACGAACGTACATGGTTACCGTCAAACCAACGTACATGGTTAACGTCAAACCAACGTACATGGTTAACGTCAAACCAACGCACATGGTTAACGTCAAACGAACGTACATGGTTAACGTCAAACGAACGTACATGGTTAACGTCAAACGAACGTACATGGTTAACGTCAAACGAACGTACATGGTTAACGTCAAACCAACGTACATGGTTAACGTCAAACCAACGTACATGGTTAACGTCAAACCAACGTACATGGTTAACGTCAAACCAACGTACATGGTTAACGTCAAACCAACGTACATGGTTAACGTCAAACGAACGTACATGGTTAACGTCAAACGAACGTACATGGTTAACGTCAAACGAACGTACATGGTTAACGTCAAACGAACGTACATGGTTAACGTCAAACGAACGTACATGGTTAACGTCAAACGAACGTACATGGTTAACGTCAAACGAACGTACATGGTTAACGTCAAACCAACGTACATGGTTAACGTCAAACGAACGTACATGGTTAACGTCAAACGAACGTACATGGTTAACGTCAAACGAACGTACACGGTTAACGTCAAACCAACGTACATGGTTAACGTCAAACGAACGTACATGGTTAACGTCAAACGAACGTACATGGTTAACGTCAAACGAACGTACATGGTTAACGTCAAACGAACGTACATGGTTAACGTCAAACGAACGTACATGGTTAACGTCAAACGAACGTACATGGTTAACGTCAAACGTACCTGAAACACCTGAAACACCTGAAACACCTGAAACACCTGAAACACCTGAAACACCTGAAATACCTGCAAGCCAGGTGCAAGTGTGGTCTGCACTGGCCCACCCATCCCCTCATCCACCCACCCCCTCATCCACCCACCCCCTCATCCACCCACCCCCTCATCCACCCACCCCCTCATCCTCCCACCCCCTCATCCACCCACCCCCTCATCCACCCACCCACCCATCCACCCACCCACCCACCCATCCACCCATCCACCCACCTGAGTGAGTGTGATGGAGAGCGCGAGAGAAACGAGCACCCAGAGACAGGTGGCCTTCTGGTGAGAGAGAAGGGAGGGGGAGAGGGAGGGGAGGGGAGGGCCAGGAACCAGTTTCAAGGCCACTGGTTATGAGAAAGTGTTCGGTCGAGCGAGTGGGAGCGCAAGAACAAAAGAAATGGGTGTCCTTCTAGTGAGAGGGACGGAGAAAAACCGTTGTTTTTTAAGCGTTTTCTAATGAAAGTGCTAGGCTTGGTAACCGCGAAGGTAACTTCCTTCCAGCGTGTTAGAAAGAGGGAAAGAAAGAGAGTGACGAGCAACCGGAGAAGAGACAGGTGGGTGGCCTTCTGGTGAGAGAGGAGAAGGGGGGAGGAGGGGGAGGATGGGGGGACGGGCAGGGACCTTTCACTCCCTCACTCACAGAGCACAACGGCGCAGCAGCAGCCTGTCGCGGCCTCCGCACCTCCCCCACACCATTCCCCCCTCCTCTGCCCCCCCCTCCCCCTCCCCCTCCCCCGTCCCCACCCCCCGCCATCTCCTCATCCAGTGCTGCAGCAGCAGCGCGAGCAGCCTCTGTCTTAAACACCACCCCGGGCACCCGCTGCTGCTGCTGCTGCTGCTGCTTCCGCGGAGGGGGACTCCCCCGCGCGGACGCGCCCAGCTGCGGGCTCCCCCGCGCGCCACCCCCTGCGTGGTTGTGGCTGTCGTGGTCGAGGGGGTCGAGATCGTGGTCGTTGTCCCCCGCGCCGTCGCCCCCCACCTCCCCCACCCGCGCGTACTGCACTGTGTCCTGCGCGCCCAGCCCCAGCAGCTCGAATGCCTTCATGGCTGTGGGGGGGAGAGGGAGGGTAGAGGGGGAAAGGGGGGAGCTGGCGACGTGGTTATGGCTGTCGTGGTCGAGGGGGTCGAGATCGTGGTCGTTGTCGCCCGCTCCATCCCCTGCGCTGTCCCCACCCACCTCCCCCACCCGCGCGTACTGCACTGTGTCTTGCGCGCCCAGCCCCAGCAGCTCGAATGCCTTCATGGCTGGGTGCAGGGAGGCGGGTGAGGGTGGGGGGAAAGGAAAGGGGGTGGGGAAGAGCGAACCTCCCCCACTCGCGCGTACTGCACCGTGTCTTGTGCGCCCAGCCCCAGCAGCTCGAATGCCTTCATGGCGCGATGCTGCGCGGGAAGGGGTGGGGGGATGGGAGGGGGGAGGTGAGGGGGAGAACGACGAAGGGCGGAGGAGAGGCAACCTCCCCCACCTGCGCGTACTGCACCGTGTCCTGCGCGCCCAGCCCCAGCAGCTCGAATGCCTTCATGGCTGCGCGCAGGGGGGCCGGTGGGAGAAGGGAGAGCGGGGGGGAAGGAAGAGGAGAGGGGAGGAAAAGGGGAAGAGAAAGGGGGGGGGTGAGGGGAGCAGAGAGGCGCGGAGCGTGAACGACTCATGGGGGGCGCAGGGGACTCGCGCGAACCGCGGGCACGCACGCACGGGTCGAACGAAATCATCGCTGCGAGAGACGAGGTAGGGGGAGAGGAGCGCGCGAGACGGCGGGTGGTGTAGCAAGGACGGAATGAGACGAGTCTGCTATTTTAAGTTTTTTTTTCAAACAGCGACACGGGCGGTGTCGAAAGGACGGAATGACGGAGGCAGAAGGTCGGGGCAATGTGAGGCGATGCTCGCGACTTGGTTACTCGCGGTTACTGGTCGTACGACTGGTTACCAGCAGCGTATCAAATCGCAGAAGCAACAACGCGGTGGAACGCGGGCGAGAATCAATCGCAACATGCGACGATGGATTGAATTCAAGTCATGTCAACAACGCACCTTGGCACCTGCGCTTTAAAGTTGACACCTCCGCTCGACTTACTTGTTGGAGTACCTTCCGACAGGGGTCACCGCTTCTTAAAGTTGATATTGACAGCCTCCTCGCGAAATGCGTGACGGTTCGCGAAATACGCGACAACAAAGAAGGCCAATGGGAATGGCAGCAACAGAGAGGTCGAAAACGCCAATAGGAATGGCAGCGTAATGGTCTTCGAAGCAATTTGGACGGCGCGCAGTGAAGGAATAAATAATAAGGATGGTGGCTAGAAGGCGCAAACCTAATTGAAGGAACTCTTATCCTCCTACAGCTTGGTGCGATTGGCGAAAAACGGCCTCTATTCTACGTGCTCTCTCCTCATCCACTGTCGGCTGTTATGGCAATGCAGGTCGTCCCATTTCTATGTGAGCAGCTCATGCGCGTGCCACTTAGCGCAGGTCGCGCAGATAAAGCGCTGTCGCAAATTTTACGGATGGTCGTGCGGAATGGCGGCGCCAGATAGAGACGATGTTTCTTGCGAAAGGAGGAAGAACGAAACAAGACTCTGCTTCTGTTCCCCCGCCAATTTCGTCGTCAGGACGACGTGCTACGACTACGTGTACGATGGGCTGCGACGCGAAGCTAGACTGGACGACTTTGTACGACGCTGCAGTACGGGGGACTGAAGTGCTGTTTCGAGCGAAGCAGCATTTGACAGCTCAACGAAGAACCTTACGACATCGCTGAGTACTCTTTGTGAAGTCGTACACTCTTTCGCAGCGGCGTTCTTGGGGGCTTTACAACTAAATGGTTTTTTACGATTGGTGACTGGGCTGGCAGCACCACGAAGCCTTTATGATGTTATTGGTCACCTCCAGCTAAGTGAGAGTTTTGGCTGACTGGGCGCCAACAAATCAGCAGACAACAAGCTCATCCACCAAAAATGTTCTCCCAAAAGCGGACTCGCTTTCCATATAATAAATTGTCACAGCATTCAAATGTATAAAGCTGTCAAGTGGTTAGGTAGGGCCAATACTCTATGGGGTGGAGGAGAAGGTCAGAAAGAAGTTTAACCCCTCTTTCTGACTAAATTCTCTATCCGCGTAGCGCGCCTTGAAGGCAGGCAGCTCTGCAGGTGGTCGCTTCACCTTGATGATCCAAATGGCATCGACTACGTTCGCCCCAGGAGGTGGAACTTCGTCGGCGCAGGTGCGTGTGGACCTCCAAAATGCCTCCTCTGCGTCCATGGTTGCTATCCACTGAGTTCCTGAGAGTGCCACAGCGTAGGTGCGAGGGGTCGGGATGTCAAAAGCGTATGGGTCACCCTCAGGGGCTAGCAGCATGGCACAGAGATGAGGATCAGAGTCCGCAAGGAAAACAATCTCGTACTGCGTGCCCTCTGGGTCGTCCCTGACGGACGGAGGACGGGCAGGTGCGGAGATCAACCGAGTGGCGTAATCAAGGCAGTGGGTGGAGGCAAGGTCAGCGACAAGAGCAGAGACTTGCGGAAGAGGGGCAATGAGTTCGGTAACGAAGAAGGAAAGGACACGAGAGACCGTAGGGCGAGTGACACTGAGGAAGCCAGCGAACGGAGTAGAGGAGACAGCGAGGGACAATGGAGGAGGTAACAGGAGAACAGTGGGTGGCGGAACACGAGAGGGACGAGGAGGAGCATAAAGTGGATACAGGAAATAGGAGACACAGGGTGAGCCCGAGAGGGACGACGGATCCAGTGGCGGGAATTAGGAGTCGGGTCAGGAGACAGAGGAGGAGATCGCTGTCAAGGTGGAGGACGAGCTGGAGACGAGACCAGAGGAGGAAACATGGGACTGTTGAGCGGGAGAGACGGTGAGGGGGGAGCATGTGGTCGGCCAGGTAAGAAAGACTAAGAAGGAGAAGCGCAGGCAAGTGGCGACGACAGTTGCAGCGGCGACTGCTGTTGCGGCAACAGCTGCTATGAGTTGTCGGTGATGGCCGTGGTCGACAGCAGGTTGTGCACTCGCATGGCATGGTGCATCGCGTAGGTCCAGTAGGTTGGCGGAAGCTTCGACTGCTTCATCAACGCCCGCACCTTGGTCATGAGTGTGCGGTTCGTGCGCTCGTCTACGCTTTACTGCTGGTGCGCGTAGGGGAGGGAAACATGATGCTCGATTCCCTTATTCGCCAGGTAATCCTGCATCTCCTTGCTCCTGAACTCCGTTGCGCCGTCAGATTGCCAGATTTTCAGTTTCTCCCTGGATTGCCGCTGCGCGTGTGCCAACCATAGACGAAACATTTCGTATGCTCTGCTGCGCGCCTCCACGTTTACGACCCACACGTAGCGCGTTCCAGCGTCGACGAAGGTGAGCGTATACAGCTCATCGTTAATTCCGCAGGTCCTACGTTGAGGAAGTCACTCTATACCTTCTCCAATTTTACGTAGCGGTTGGTTCCGAGCTCGAGCAGGGGGGATGGTTGGTGGCTTAGCGCAGCTTCGGGGCAGACGGTGCAGTTGCGCGGATGTGTCGCGCCCCTTACTTCGGTGCCATCATGGCGCAAGAGTGCGTCAGGCTTGCACACGCCAGCCTCGATGCAGTTCTTCAGCGTTACGCGCGAGGGGTGACCGAGGTGCTGGTGCCAAATGGTATCGTCGGCGCGGAATCCAGAGGTGCGCATGTAGCGCGCGTGTGCTTCTGCGGGGTCCTCATCAGGTGCTTGGGCAGGTTCTGCCACTGTTTCTTCAGCTTCATCGTCTCCGTTCGCCATCGTCAGCATCAGCGCAATAAATTCCCTGTCGAGAATGTTGGAGAGGGGAATATGGATTCCAGGGATAGTTCCAAGGAAGAAGGTTGGTTCGCGCGGCTCAGGGACAGGTCCGTAGACAGTGCGATGGGAGTAGAGGGCTCGTTGCCCTGGCTGGATGTCACGAGAGGGTAGTGCAGGTGCAGCGCGGCTTGGAGGTCGACCAAGAGGAACAACTGGAGGTTCCGCCTCGATTTCCTCTTCTTCCCCCCTTTGGTCCTCGCGGGAAGCCCCCCAGCCTTCGCCGGAAGTGCACCATTTGCTTGTCTCGCCGCCATTTGCCGCACCCCATCCGCCATTGTCGCTCGTGCCCCATCCGCTGGCGCTTCCCCACCCCCCTTCATTGGAGGCGCTCTCCTCTTCTCCCCATCCGCTCCAGGCGAATGTGCCACGCGAATCCGCAAGACTCCGTTGGCGAAGCTCTTCCGCTTCGCGACGCGCCAGTTCCTCCTCTTGCGCCACGGTAAGCTTCTTCGCGGAGTCGCACTGGTGAGAGTAGATCTCCAGAAATTTCTCCTTTGTTTTGGGTCGCGGGACTCCATGTGCATCGAAGGTGCCGACGCCGGTGCCGCGCAGCATGCCCCAAAGATGTTGTGATGCAGGTTTGGGGAGGGGATTTTCCTCCGTGCCGAAGATGACGCGTGTGGCGGTTTCAAGCTCCAGGTTGGACAGTCCTTCTTCAGGCAGTGCTTCCCGCTCTGCTTCGGCGATGGCGGCAAGACCACGGCCAGCAATTTCGCTCGTTGAGGCTGTGGGCGTATGGCAATGTCTGCAGATGCCGTCGGGATCAGGGTCGTGCAGCGCCACCTCGTGCAGGTGAGCATGATGCGGCACCCACGGTCTTCCGTTTGGATGTTTCCAATTGCGGTGGTGAATATGTTTGAAGCGCAGAGGGACGAGGTCGATGAGCTCCTGTGAATCACCGCTGAAGTCGGGAATTCCGAAGTCGAGGATGTAAACGCCGTTTTTGGAGTGCGCTCGTCCGATCTGCTTGTGCATCTTGTTCGGCATCGTGTAGTGGAGCAGGATGCCGCGTGTCTCGGGTTCGGTGCTGAGGTCGACTCCGCAATCCATGAGTTGCGCCGCTGAGAAGAGATTAAAGCACAAATTCTGCACGATCAGCACGTCGTTCAGTGTGATGTGCGTCCTTCTCCCTCGGGCCTTGAGCACCACGATTCCTTGCGCGCTTGCGCACAGACGCGTGTTGTTCGCCACGGTGACATAGGTCACGGCAGGGGTGGAGACAGCGTTGGATGTGTAAAGCTCAGAACCCACCATATGCTGCCCATAGCAGCTATCCAGGTACCACGTGTTGTAGCGCCTGTTGTCGTTACGTGCGAGCAGCGCCAGTCGCGGGGTAATGATATGCGGTGTGACAAATTTCAGAAATTGCTCGCACGAGATCCAATCGATCGAAGCCGCCCGCTGATCAGGTATGTGCGGAGGACTTTCAAGCAACGGGACTGGGAGATTCCAGTCATGTTCTTCGTCGTCGGTGAAATCGTGGCGCGTGCTGAACGGATTGTTGTTCGAGAATGCTCTGATTGGCTGGCGTGCTGGCTCAGGTGACGGTAAGCGTGCGCGGGGACGACGGGATCCGCTTGTCATTGTCATGTTGCCCATGACATTGCGGACTGGGGCAGTCTGTGGCGACTGCTGATGCTGATGCTAAACGGCTGGGTTCAGGTTGCGCGGTGGGGGTTGGTGCCGTTGGGCTTGACGCGTGTCATTTCGTGCGTCTTGTCGGCCGGACCAGTTGCTCGGATTGGTCTGACGAGGGCGAGATCGGAATTTGCATCGATCTGCCAGGTGCCCGAAATTTCTGCAAATCTTGCAGTAAGGGCGTCGCGGCCGTCGCTCCTC